TTATTTGACTTTAGCTTATTAATTTATTTATTTTTAAAAAAAACTTCTCATTCGACGTTAATTTCAAAATTTTAAAAGATTTTATCTGTACAAAATAAAAAAATGACTTTATTTTAATTAGTTAAATAAAATTTAAGTTATGATATTATCTACATCATGTAATTATGATCTTGAAACTCATTATTTTGTTGCAAACTCGAAAAGCATGTATGAAATTCCTATAAATCTATAAAGTAAGAATTGTCTAGTTGAAAATTGAAATTATGAAAAATATTCTAATTTTTGCATTTCGAAAACTTGAAAATTGAATAATTAACTAATGATAGGAATTATTAAGTAAATATTGAATTTTATAATTTTAGATGTTTGATATGTATTATTTTAATTATTAAATAATTTTTAAAATAATTAAAAATTTAACATAATATTGAAAATAAGAAAACATTTTTTTACATCCAAGTCTCGTCTAAGCTCACTTAAACTCGTAAAGTTTGGAGTTTTGCTTTCACCACTAACCACGTTTTACGCTTTTTAGGACATTGTTGAAAATTCATATGATTATGAATCATTTTGCTCCCGACCTACATTCACATGCGAGCCGGATATAAGTGAATTAAAATGACAAAAAATGCTCCCATATTGTGTGTGATGTAAGGGATGATGGCAGCATAGCATTGTTGAAAACTGAAAATGACTCCATCAACTTCCCAAATTATCTAAACAATGTACGGCTGGAAGTCATTCTTGAAAAACGAAGAAAACAATCTTTTTTTAAACTAATCATAATTCCAGAATCTTGAGAATCATTTTCATAATAAATGCACTTTTCAGATGACAACTAATTCACGCTTCCTTTGTTTATGGACGCCAATTCACGCTTTTTTTTATGAAATTCAGTACAACAGTAGCAAAAAATATTCAGCGGCCGAACATTTTATTCTAATTTTAAACCTCAATATATAAATTTATAAGAAATAATTAAGAATTAATAAGCGAAAAACGGAAATCTTTAAAGGAAAATCAATGATTTCATAACCTTAGCTTTAATACTACACGTAAGCAATTAAACCCCAATACTAAGATCTTTAGAATTTTATTATTTTCACACATATATAAATTGATCGAGAAACATATCTCGATCCATAGCAATTAATCAGAAGATTTGAATATGCAATAAGAAATAAGAAAAATCAAGAAACTGTTCTCACCCTTTTCCTCTCTATAATTTAACTAAACTAATTTGATGGAATACCTTCACATTATGGACACAGAGAGATGGTTTCTATTAAACTTCGAAACAACGTACTTTTCAGCAAAGTGTACAGTTAAGAAATTGTCACTTTTCAATGGGTCAATTTTAGCAAATATAAAACTACTCAAATTAATTTTTTAATAATATTACACGAGGCCACACATTGCAAGACTAATCGGAGTAAAAAAATTAATTAATTGTTAATGCCAATTGCCAAAGGAGACGACTAATTGGCGTGGAATATTGATTTATTGGTACTGCAGAAAAGAGACCATATTATCTATCAGTGGAATATTCTCAATATATGTTTTAGCACACATTTTGTAAAGTAAACTTAATTGGCGTGGAATGTTCTCAATATGATTCAGCAAACCATTTATAAACTAAACTTGAACCACAAGAAAGATGGGTGGTTTTGACTTCAAATTGTCTGCCGAAAGTGTCTGAAATACGAGCCATCCACATTAATTATAAGTAGACATAATTAAGTGGAAACCACATTAATTTAACAAAAATCAGAGAATAATTACCACCCGTCAAAGCACGTAAACTGTAAAGTCAATGTTAATCAATTTATTCCTTGTACTATGTTATATATGTTGTGCATGGACACTACTCTTTTCAGTCAAGGTGGGGGTGACCTCCAAAAAATACAGAAAAAGGAAGTGAAGGAGTCTGGGAGTACAAAAGTAAATAAACAAATAAGCTAACTTTATATATTAGGCCCTGTTTGGTATACATTATTTTTTTCATTCTCATTTTTCTACTCATTTTCAACCACACATTCTTCAACAAAATAATATTTTCCATCACATCAATAACTTTTCCTTCATTTTTACTTAATTCTCTTTTCGGCCCTGGTGCAACAACCTCCAAAAATATAAAAAAGAGAAACAATATAGCAAGTAAAGAGAGAACATGAAAGACATACAATTTGGAGTAACTGACCAAACAATAGATATATCTAGGTGTTCGAGCTAATTATGAAGGTAAGAATTGACTAGGGAGTTGATCACAAATGCTAGTCATGCAGTCTACAAAGAAACTCCTCGATATCTTGTTCGATCTAGACATCTTATAAACCTTTATCTTTGGTCAAACTTGTTAACAAGTAGAATCGTTCCAGGTTTAATAAGTCCCACGAGTTCACATATATACTCTTTTATAGACTGATTCGAACTCTCACAATTGTGCTCTTGGACATGACAAGTGTCAAAGCCATATAATAACAAGGATCGTGATTACGGTGAATAAAGTGCAGTACAAATTGCACTCCTTGTTTCTCGAGAACATAGAAAGCTTACTTTTTTACACCCTTAGTTGAAGATCAGATCGAGCCTCCTTCTATGTACTATATTTTTATCTTTATTAATAAAACATGCCTCTATGACGTGCTTACTTGAGAGCTCGAGTGAGCTCGGTCCTCCTCCTTATGGCTGTAGACTCAACTACTTACTGGATCTTGTTTTGTAGAGATATTCTGATATTCAAAAAAAAAAAAAAAAGGAAATAAAAACAGAACCATCCAATATAGTTTAACACTATGGATATTTTTTTATTTTCATCAGAGACTTTAATGATATGCACTTTCAACGGTTAGATCTTTACATGATGTAATACCCAAAGGCTATAAATACCTAACTTCTGCAATCGAAACATTCAGCTCCAAAACAACAAACCTCTCTCTCTAAACACACACACAAATTAAAGCAGCAAAGCATTTCATTTGCTAATTTCATGGCCTATATTCAAAGCATCTCGATATTGCTGATCCTTTTTGCAGGTTTTTCCTGCCTTCCAATTCCCCTCACCAAGGCAAGGCAGTTTAAACTGCTCAATAAACAAGAAAAACATGATATCCCGGCTTCTCTTCCTACCAATGCTTCCCCTCATGTTCTAGAACAAAAGCGCATCCCCCCACCAACGAATGAAAAACACGAAATCGACAGTTCAGATGCAAAGAATGTACCCACAGAACCAGGAAACAGTCCTAGAACAGGTCACTCTTTTCCATCCAGAAAGGAAAACGTTCAAGGAAAGATCGACGATTTTAGACACACAGAATCCGGACCCAGTCCTGGTATAGGTCATTGATCTTTTGCAAACAAGACCATAGAACAAATAAATGAACATGCATCGCACGTGTATAAGTAATTTANNNNCGCACGTGTATAAGTAATTTATCATTGCTTGTCTGATATCGTATTTCTATTAGTATCATATGATGTTTGATGTATAATAGATATGTCATCGCTTGTATTATAGCGTATTTCTATTAGTAGCATGTTCCGTTTGATGTATAATTTGGGACCCGTTTTATAGCCAATTATCTAAATAAATTTCTTATACATAATCTCTCTTTCTATGTATTTATTATGTTACAAGTTTCTCAGGGACAAGTGCACATCCTGTGTCTGCATGTTTTGGTGTTAATTACTTAAGCCCCTGTTTGGCCCCGTTTTTTCTCATTACATTTCATTTTCTTGGGTCAAAAATGGTAGGTAGCTGGGACCCACTGACTATTTCACTGCAAAGTTGTGTACGTTTCTGCATATGTCCATGACTTTCTCATATTTTAAAAGCACCGTTAAGCCACTAATGACAATATTGCCCCTACCTTTTTTGACAATGTTGAATTGCAGCCAGCACATGAGAAAGAGGGCATTTTCAATCTGGACCCAGTCCTGGTATAGGTCATTGATCTTTTGCAAACAAGACCATAGAACAAATAAATGAACACGCATCGCACGTGTATAAGTAATTTATCATCGCTTGTCTGATATCGTATTTCTATTAGTAGCATATGATGTTTGATGTATTCTGTTTGATGTATAATAGATATGTCATCGCTTGTATGATAGAGTATTTCTATTAGTAGCATGTTCCGTTTGATGTATAATTTGGGACCCGTTTTATAGCCAATTATCTAAATAAATTTCTTATACATAATCTCTCTTTCTATATATTTATTATGTTACAAGTTTCTCAGGCACAAGTGCACATCCTTGTGTCTGCATGTTTTGGTGTTAATTACTTAAGCCCTGTTTGGCCCCGTTTTTTCTCATTACATTTCATTTTCTTCGGTCAAAAATGGTAGGCAGCTGGGACCCACGGACTATTTCACTGCAAAGTTGTGTAGGTTTCTACATATGTCCATGACTTTCTCATATTTTAAAAGCACCATTAAGCCACTAATGACAATATTGCCCCTACCTTTTTTGACAAGGACTTTTCCATTTGTACATTACTGGTTCACAGTAATGTACACAGCCCCCTCACATGTTGGGGGGGCCTACATGAATAAAATAATGGCGGGCCCCTTTATATGTGAGTGTGCTGTCAAAGTTGATGTAAACAATGCTGTGAGTGTAGCATTGCTCTTTTGACAATGTTGAATTGCAGCCAGCACATGAGAAAGAGGGCATTTTCATCCTTCATTGTCAACGGTTGTCCTGTACAGGGTTAGGCCTGACACGCGAGTTGAGTGATTTGGACAAGTAGTTGACAAGTTGGTTTGTGGAAAAGTGTGAAAATGAAATTTAATGAGAAAAAAACAGGGGCTAAACAGGGGCTGACATGTAGAAGTACAATCCAATGACAAGAAGAAAAAAAATTAAGAAAAACGAGCAGAAAAATAAGCAAAGGTATTAATGAATCATGACCACATATTATTGATCTCCATGGTTTCCTAGCCTTCATAGGCATGTATTATGTTTTATATTTTTATTGCAATAATATATGCGACTTTTATTTTTATTTAAAAAGTAGAAGGAAAAAAAATTGGCGCCTTAGCTAATCCTTGTGGCGCAATATACTCAAGATCCAATGGAGGGCGCAACTAGTAGAAATGGGTTATTTACGTAGAAGAATATAATTTCGATTGGCAAATTTATAACTTAATTTGTAAAGACGAATATCAGTGACTCCCACAAAATATGTTGATAATAACTGACTTATAAATGTGTGATTGAAATTAATATTTGATTTTAGTTAAATTTATAAATCATATATAAATTTGTTGCCAGATTTATATAAATTTGTTGCCACACGGAGAATGAGCTTTTGTTAAAATAAATATATAAAAAGGTGGAAGAAAATGTTCGCAGATTCTAACTGGGCTGTGAAACACTTCGGTAAGAAAAATTACTTTGCAAGATTCATGCTCATAATAGTTTACCAAGATTTTCTTTTTATTTTATAGTACTAGCAAATTATGAAAATGAAACACTAGAAGAAATAAAGTAACATACACTACAAGAAAAAAGACCTTTTGCAACATGCAAAAGGCAACATTCATTAATTACATGTTGCTAAAAGGGGTATATGGCAACGTTCAGCAAGTGTATGCTGCTACTGGTTGACAAAGTTGAGTTTTGACAACGTTTTTTAATTAATGTTGCTAATACACCCTTTTACAACGTTCGCGTTTCGTTGTCTTTAAATTTTTTTTTGCAACGTTCAATGTACGTTGTCCTAGATTAGTTTTAGCAACGTGCAATACACGTTGCCATTAGATGTTTTAGCAATGTGCATTTGAACGTTGTCATTAACCTTTTTGCAACGTTCAAATGCACGTTGCAATTAATAATTTTAGCAACGCGCGTTCATTACATGTTGCTATTAGATGTTTTAGCAACGCGTATTTGAACGTTACCATTAACCTTTTTGCAACATTCATTGCACGTTGTCATTAATAGTTTTAGCAACCTGCATTTGAAAGTTGCCATTAACCTTTTTGCAACATTCATTGCAGTTGCCATTAATAGTTTTAGCAAAGCACGTTCATTGCACGTTGTCATTAATAGTTTTAGCAACGTGCATTGAATGTTGCCATTAAGTTAAATTGTAGGAGATGGACTTTCTTTGCAATAATTAGTTATACTATACGTCTACATGGGTTATATATATAATCCATGTAGACGTATAATATAACTAATTATTGAAAGGCGATTACGAGCCAAAAAAATAAATCACCAAAAATTAATTTTGCATCAAAAGCTCGACTTGATCGTACACATTTTCATCTCCAAATTTGATGATTTTATTATTAATTTTAAAATATTAAAAATTCTACAAGAGATTCACAGCCTTTGACTGGCTACTGGCATTAGTGGCATAGTATAAATCAGCCACAAAAAGGGGAAATCTTGAAGAATATCGTCAGGTATCCCAGATGTCTCTATGGATTCTTTGAAGAATATGAGGCTAAGAATTAATTCTTACAATTTTCAATACTAATCTTTAGCCTTTTCCGCAAAATCGTCCACAATCATCAACTTGCATGTGAATTACTTCTGTGATTCTTGTATTTAAGAATTACACAGATTCGTTTTTTGACCATTCA